TTCAATTATTATTATGACAACAGTGCTACATAGCTTTACACGTCGTTTTGAATTAAAAACTGGGGTACAGTCTTATGATGCTCTTGTGACATCCACATCAAGGAGATTAGTGAAAAATATAAAATGGTAGCTGAAGATTACTGGTGGTAGGACCGCTTGTGAGTCCGTGCGGGTAGGTACCACCAGCCTGCCTATTTCAGCCGTGAAGCAGTTATGCGTTTTGGTTTGAAGGGTGGGGCAGCCGTTGTAACTATACTTGAAACCTAAGAACTTATATCTCAAGGTGGGTGGCGCGCTTACGTTGTAGATGTCTATGAGCTCCAGTAACCACTTAACACCAGGTGGGCTGTAAGCTTGTCCACCCAAATAAGCAATAAAAAAATATATTACACCCAATGGCATTTAAAATATACCTTCGATGAATTTAAATCAATTCAAGATGTCGGCCGTTCTTCTTCTCGATGCTGAATTATCACGATGTCGGTATTTTTACTCTTCCGAGGGTGTGGGGGGGGCGGCGGGAGAACACGCAAGCCTCTGTTAGGGCTGCGTAGCTAGCCCTGTGAACACACAGGTGTTGCTATCAATATAACCGTTAGCTTTGTACTGTCCGAATATTCACCAGCGTATAATGCCACGGTCATTGCTAATTGTATGAAAAATAACGATTTCTTCGATCTAAAACTACACATACATATTATTTTTTCTATTGTCCGCACCGATATATAATATATATCATAAGCTGTGTACTACTTTTAGCTATTAACCGTTAAATTTTTAGAGTTCATCAGAATATGTCCACTACTTTTTGCATGGATCCACCCATCCTCACAAACTTTCGCATTCATAACATTAAGAAGATTTTTCTGAGACCATTGTTACTTTACAATATAATATAGGCTTAAGGCTCATGTGTCAAGGTGGTTCATCGACCTCAAATGGCATTCACATTGTGATTTCTATGGTTTAGGGTAACCACTTAATATTAGGTATATCGTGAGCTGATTTACCCGTTTTTACAACAACAAAAAAACTAATTTAATTTATAAATTTGTTTATCTTGTTTTATATATAAAAGGAGCCTTGAGGAAATTCTATATATGGTCTGGTCTATAGGTTGAAGATTTGTTGTATGAAGAATTTTTACAGATGGCTTAAAAATACTTATGGAAAAATTTTGTTTACGGATGAGAAAATTTTTACAATTGAGCAACATTTTAACAAACAAAATGACCGTATTTATGCTCAAAGCTCTAAGGAAGCTTCCCAATTAGTCGACAGAGTGCAACGTGGGCACTATCCGACTTCAATGATGGTTTGGTGGGGTATTAGCTACGAAGGAGTGACTGAGCCATACTTTTGTGAAAAAGGTATCAAAACATCGGCACAAGTGTACCAAGATACCATTCTTAAGAAGGTAGTGAAGCCCCTTAACAACACCATGTTCAATAGTCAAGATTGGTCCTTCCAGCAAGACTCATTAAGAGAGTTATCACTCGGCGCCAGGTCATAAAGCTCGGTCTACGCTTGCTACGCTCGGTCTTGGTTGGAAACGAACGTTTCGGACTTCATCAGAGCTGAAGACTGGCCGTCGTGTAGTCCTGATCTTAATCAGCTGGATTATGATTTATGGTCAGTTTTATAGAGTACGACTTGCTCTAAACACCATGATAATTTGGAGTCCCTAAAACAATCCGTACGATTGGCAGTGAAAAATTATCCCATGGAAAGAGTGCGTGCTTCTTTTACTTTAGCTTTTTATACTTTAAATTGTTTTATATTTATGTATTGAACTAACACACTGTAAAAGTAATAAATGTTATTTGCAATCGAATTTTTTTTAATTTTTTTTTGTAACTGTATTTATGGCCAGACTAAGTAAATAAAAATACCTTTCTATTACAATTGCAAGATTGCACAACCCTAACCTGGCTAGCCGGTTGAATTATATTGTTATTTCGGTACGAACGGGAATCGATCGCTGGTCTCTCGGGAGTGAAACGGTTACAACGTTGATATCTTAATGGAACTATATGGATTGGTTCGTTCACTGTTGTTCGTCAATTATTTTAATTAACCATCAACGTGCAATAAAAATATTTCTCAACGTTCGCCCTATAAATAATATAATAAAACAGAAACTCTTGAGAAATGTGTAGATAAATGCATTTTGTTGAAAGGGTGGTTGGTTAATTTTAAGTGAAAGTCGACCTTAACACATTTAGTAATTAAGTCGGATTTCATGTGCGATTTGTTGCAATAAGTGATGAATGCGTAAGTAATTCCTAAGAATTTGTGGTATATCTAATCTCATTGAATGAGCTCATGAACTATTATAAAATAATTAATTCTTAAGGATTATGAATAGTTGAATTTCAATTTTTTTTTCATCACATTTCACACATTAAATTGTCATGGTCCACGGTCCTCGATAAATCTACAAAGTTTGAATGAAATCTGGCCGTTTAAAGTGGGTCATAATCGCGTCTAAAGGAGTTAGTTACAAGCATACAAACATACATACAAGTGAAGCTAATATAAAGCGCGTAAAAAGAAAACATTATAGACTATGTCAACGAACGCCAATGATTGGCCCTCTTGATGCGAAGTTATTCAAAACATAGCTTCAATTTAAAAAAAAAAACGTGAGAAAAAGGAAAAACACTTTCCCAAATAGTTTTTATTTTTATTTTTCGTCAATACAATAACAATACGTCATGTACGACAACATCAATCGTTGCTAAAATAAATATCTCGTTCCACACGGAACCAAAATATTAGCAACACAATTATGCAAGGGATAACAATCAAATGAAAATTAAACCCGGCATTCGGAATCAACACGACGATTTATCATTAATTATTCATTATTTATTCATTAACGCGTGACCTGCTGACTTAATGACGACAACACAGGGGCGTTTAATATCTCGCTAGTTACGTGGTTCAATTAAAGATTTTGATATGTTTATTTATTTATTTTTAAGCAATTGCAGCTTGCAGCAATTGATAATTAATATATTTATTTATTTATAAGCATTTTTTGCGTTATTTTTGTTTTAATGCGATTATCTTTATAAATTACAATCATATTATGATGAAGAGAGCTTAGAAAAAAATGTTTTTCATCGAAGAATGTTAAACTTAAATACATGTTACTGTGAAAAGCATGCGAGCCGATATGAACACACTGAAACCTTCGAATTTGTTGTATCTTAATTAACTAAAATATACAAAATTTCAATGACTATCTCTGCCAATAAATTCAGCACACACACACATACACTCTATCTGTAATTCAATTTCTCACGTATACCAAACATATCGCAGTATCAAGATTTGCCACGTACTGTTTTCAATGTTTCTGACACTGCAAAATAGTGTTCTTATAATGTTGAACGCCAAACTAGAAACTATGTTTAGCTCAGTGGGCCCCGGCGAGGACTCGGAGACTGCCAATAAATCGGATGCACGACGGACACATTGTGACTGCCATTTGACATCTCTCTGAAAATAATAAGTAGTCACTGTTTCCGTAAGTCGCCCATTATTTTTAAGTTATTTCTTGACAATACTTGCGAAAAAACACGTTAACGGCTTTTGGACGATTCTTGATATATTGGTGCGGATTCGGGGGCAGTATGCCGTAGACACATGGTGTTCGTTATGGCGTTCAACGTGTGAACATTAAATAGGAACATATTGACGTAACAACGTCTTATAATTCGATGGAGCCGGCTGCACGCACGAAAAAACATGACTCATGCGACGTTACCTCGCTCTGAGGCATATTTTCTCATGACGTTGTCACGTTCAACTATCGTCAGTAAACCGACTTTACAGACAACAGATTTTTTAACCGCGTATGTGTATCCGAGCTTAAAGTTCAACGTATGATTTTTTAAAAAAAGCAGTCTCCTAGTGACTTTGTCTGCATAACCTTTGTTTGACAGTTTGAAAATGCCTTAGGCACTAAGTCCGCTAAATTATCAAAATACATTTTTTTTTATTGCTTAGATGGGTGGACGAGCTCACAGCCCACCTGGTGTTAAATAATTACTGGTGCCCATAGACATCTACAACGTAAATGCGCCACCCACCTTGAGATATAAGTTCTAAGGTCTCAGTATAGTTACAACGGCTGACCTACCCTTCAGACCGAAACGCATTACTGCTTCACAGCAGAAATAGGTAGAGCGGTGGTACCTACCCACGCGGATTCGCAAGAGGTCCTACAACCAGTAAAAAAGTGCATAAAGCGTAATAAAAATAATAACCATTAAGTCACACATATTATTATGGTTTTGACCTTTATTAACTTCTTGACATGGCAATTATGTTGCTGACGTGTGATTTTCAGCTGCGTGCTCGAATACCAACTTAGCTTAATTAGAAAAAACTAGAGATCCCGCAGTAGTCGAAATTCGACTATAATTAATTGGAATTGTAAGTTTGTACACTACTATGATTGTATTTTCTACTTCTATAATCACAAATCTCGCCAAGACTACACTATAGAAAAATATTAATAAAGACAAACAATATTTAATCTATTCTCAATTTGACCACAGACGTCAAGAACAAAAGTTTGACAATAAATAGTATGCATGCGTGTGTGCGTGAAATGCATGGTATGTAGTGTGTGTCATGTTTTCTTTATTGATTTAATGTATCTTTTATGCATTATTTAAAAAAAATATTAGTTTTCTGCACTTCTTCTCTACATTCTCTATAAGTGTGCAAAATTTCATACTTCTCCATCCGCGCAATATTCGTAAAAAGGGATACAAAGTTTTTGCTTCACGTTTTAATATATAGATAACCATTAAGTGACACATATTATTATGGTTTTGACCTTTATTAACTTCTTGACATGGCAATTATGTTGGCGACGTGTGATTTTCAGCTGCGTGCTCGAATACCAACTTAGCTTAATTAGAAAAAAATAAACTTGACTCTTTTAATGCTTAGCTAACGAAACCGTTTTTCTTTTGTTTCAGGTGCATTGCATTTCTCGTGAAACTCTAACATAAATTCAACAAGCACCGATAAGTATGCAAAGTGAAATTCCATGTTCTCTGATTAGAGAATTGTTGTTTTTTTTTTTTTCTTATTCTTTGAAAATGAACGAAATACGCAGTCACAAATGGAAGTGGCTGTCTTATTTTTCGAAGAAATGTTTTACTCATATCTATAATGTTTTTTCGCAATGATCTGTTTTTTTTTTTTGCTTTGGTATATGTAATTCGGCTACTATTAGTGTTATCAAAGCTTTCTAGTTTTTTTTGTTACTTTATGTTTGTTGAAAATATTTTTAAAACTCTGAATTGCGGAAATGTTTCCCAGCAAAAATGAGTGCGTATAGATGCATCTGCTAGAAAAACAAACAAAACAGGGTTTAAATTTTCCAGCAAATGGTCCAGCGCTGGCTTATTCAGTTCTTTAATGATTGGATGTTTTGGCTTGATGATTTTTCAACGAAGACTTTTTTCCAAATTTTTATACTTTTTTTTTATTATTGCTTAGATGGGTGGATGAGCTCACAGCCCACCTGGTGTTAAGTGGTTACTGGAGCCCATAGACTTCTACAACGTAAATGCGCCACCCACCTTGAGATATATGTTCTAAGGTCTCAAGTATAGTTACAACGGCTGCCCCACGCTTCAAACCGAAACGCATTTCACGGCAGAAATAGGCGGGGTGGTGGTACCTACCCGCGCGGACTCACTAGACGGTCCTACCACCAGTAAACTAGAGGTTATAATAAATTTTAATTCGCATAATAACTTTTTTACTTATTTAAATCTATTACGTTGCATGTAAAACGCGAACTAATTTAGTCTCATTACAGGGATAAATTAGTTTTGTAATGGCCATTAAATACGATCGAGGTGAATGTTGTTATCCGAACGCTCGACCATTAAAACTTGACCATGCAATAGTTTAAGCGATGCTGTTCGCAGTTAACTTCGTATTTATGACTCGACTCTATGCTATGGCTTTATCTCTCTTGTTATTGTGGCGAAGTTTGTATATTGAATGTTTTAACTTGGCCTTTGTCGTAACATTCTATAACAATATTCTCTATTGTGTCCGCCTTGCTCCATTAGTTTAGTCGTGATGATATTAAAAGAAATATTTTCATAGTGTATTTACTAAATGAATAAGGTGGTGTTTTTTACATATATTTCTGGGTCTGCGGAGGGACTTCGGTTCCCTCTGTATTTTGTACCGTATGTTCCATGGGAAGTGCTCTGAGGATTTGTTCGAGATGATACCGGCATCTCGTTTTTACCATCGCACCGCCCGCCACCGGAGTAGAGTTCATCCATACTACCTGGAGCCACTGCGGTCATCCACAGTGCGTTTCCAGAGGTCTTTTTTGCCACGTACCATCCGGCTATGGAATGAGCTCCCCTCCACGGTGTGGCTCTGCCCCTGGCATTGCTGAAGTCCATGGGTGACGGTAACCACTCACCATCAGGTGGGCCGTATGCTCGTTTGCCTACAAGGGCAATAAAAAAAAATAGCATACCAGATATAAATATTTAAACGGAATTGTGACCCGTATTATTCACAATGGAGATTATTAGCAGCCAAACATTGAGTAGATACTCTAAATTCTTCGTGTCACATACTATCAGAGAAATTAGAACATACCAGGTGGTTGAGTACACTAGCAAGAACAAGAATTAGAGCCACGCGGGATATTATTATGTTCAAAGAATTACCAAAATCAATTTATTACCTTCGTGAAAAATTATCTCTTTCTATTTCGCGCATTCTCATCTAATCATCTATTTCTTGCCTCTTGGATATTTACAATTTGGAACACTTTAAAATTAATGAAAGAAGTACAACTAAACAATTGTTACCCATAAAAGGCGAGCTAATTTATTCATAAAAGAAGAAATAGTAGCTACAATAGTATTATTAGGTGATCTACGTTTATCTTATTAAAGTCGTCGCGGTGAACTGGGCTGGTGTTCGAATCCCGTAGGCGAGTACAAAATATTCTAATGTCACCGTACTTAACTCAAGTTCACGATGGAATTACATCGTGTAATAAAGAATAAATCAAACTCGCAAAAAAATAATTTGCCTAATTATTTTTACGGTAGGCAGCGGCTTGGCTCTGTCCCTAGCATTGCTGAAGTCTATGGGCGACAGTAATCACTCACCATCAGGTGGGCCGCATGCTCGTCTGCCTACACGGGCAATAAAAAAAATCAAACATAGACCTCAATACTTCAATTCTCAAGGTGGTTGGCGTTATTCACGTTGTGACGTCTATAGTTTAACCTAAATCCAGGTGGACCGCTTGAGCTTGTACATCATTCTAAGCAATTAATAAATTACTTTCTACATATCGACGGATGGAAAGCTATCTGGTTTAAGCGATATTTTGCTTAATACATGACATTTAACTTTGCAACTAAAGGTCCGTTTTATTTGGTATCAGTAGTCAACAATACGATGTTTTTAATTGAACTTCAAAATTAATTTTTCCCCATTCAAATAGCTGAAGAAGTTTTTTTGTTAGGATATTTTTTTCCAAATTTTTATACTTGCAATGATGGGTGAACGAGCTCACGGCCCACCTGGTGTTAAGTGGTTACTGGATCTCATAGACATCTACAACGTAAATGCGCCACCCACCTTGAGATATAAGTTCTAAGGACTCAAGTCTAGTTACAACGGCTGCCTCACCCTTCAAACCGAAACGCATAACTGCTTCACGGCAGATATAGGCAGGGTGATGATACCTACCCGTGCGCACTCACAAGAGGGCCTACTACCAGTATTTGAACAAATTATAATATTGCGGGTTTGATTTTTATTACACGATGTTATTCCTTCACCGAGGAAGTCAATCTTGAACATTTGTTAAGTACGTATTTCATTAGAAAAATTGATAGTCCCCTCCGGTATTCGAACACCGTTGCTTGCAGATACGAATGCACCGGACGTCTTATCCAGGAAAAATGGCTCTCCTATAAAATTGCAAAAATGTCCCTTTCATCAAATATCTTTTCACCCCTCGATATATTATGTATGTTTATATTTGACTAGCGACCCGCCCTCGCTTCGCTTCGGAAACTGTAATTTATTATTGACATCTCCACTATTTAATGGATGTTATTATACATATAAACCTTCCTCTTTAATCACTATCTCTTAAAAAAAACCGTATCAAAATTCGTTGCGTAGTTTTAAAGATTTAAGCATACATATGGATATAAGGACAGAGAAAGCGACTTTGTTTTATACTATGTAGTGATATACATAGATCGTTTACATGTAACAAATTTCTCACGCTTTGACACAAATTATTGGATTACATTTTCCGAATTATTAGTCGAATAATAAATTTTGCATTTCCAATTACGACTAGGACCCGTTTTCGGAGTTCCCGGAGAGCGCGGCGGCACCGCGGGCGTCACATTTCACGAGGGTCCGAAAACCAACAAATTATACCCGGTGGGCCAACCAACATAATTACTGTAATTCGTTCGCACACTTTACTGTGGCCCTTATAAGGGTTGGCTTTGAGGGCGGACTCACCTGATTTACTGCTCGCAACATATTGTTTTCTTTTCACGTTACGCAATAATTGATGCAGTTGTAAAAGGTTTTGTTAATCTTGCTTATTTTTAATACGCTTTTATTAGCATCAGACGTATGTATGTTAGTATGTAACCGGAATCTTTGAACATGATTTTGACCCTCTTCAAAACGTCGGATTAACTCGAAATTTGGTATACTTATTAAGGACCAATGACAATTCAATATTTAAAAAAAATAAAAAAGAATATGGAAAAAATTGAAATTCAACTAAAAAATGAAAAATAAACAATAGTTTCAAAAAACTAACAAAATACGCTTTTATAGAAAATCCAACTAAGAAATAGAAAATAAATTTTAATAAATTTGAATTAAAAACAGTGTAACAAAAAATGATTTTATTGTAAAAAAAAGCAGTAAAGGAGACCAGAGTCACATACCAGAGTCACATATCCAAAAAATTGTCGGGTCGAAAATATACTGTTAACAAAATTTTTTTCGTTTTTCACGAGTTGTAGACATTAAGACGTTTCCAACCCTTTACAGTTCTAAAATAATTCGTCCGTGACTATGAAAACTGTAAAGTATACGAAAATTAGAAAATAATATATAATGACATTAAAATCGTCAGATCAAATCTTAAAAGTAATCTTAATTAATTGTCTATTATTTATTTATCTATGCGTTTGAGCACGTTAGTTTCCCTAAAGTTTAATAGGTTTGGATGAGTCTTTCAATGATTTGTATTCACATATGAACTTAAATTATAGTCATATTTATTTTCATGCAATAAAATAACGCAAAACCATAGATTTATTACTAGTGAAGTATACAATATTAAATACTAATATAATATACTTACTCTATACTAGCATAGTATACTAGTATTTTTAAAACTCTATTAAAATAAAAATCATGATACTCTTTTCTTCTTCATTTTATTATTAAAACCAATATTAAACCGTAAAACTAGTTTTAATTTTATCGTAATAATAAATCGAAAACTAGTTCCCCGCTGCAGATGAAAGGCTTAACACGTTCAAGATAGAATAACCCAATGAAACCCTAAAAGTTCTAACCGTAATGTTTACCCTCGAGACGTCGGGAATGAGAGTACGAGGATCGCGAAATCCCACACTGTGTAGTCGAATCACTACTAATTGTTGTAGCCTAGCCACAGTTGAAAACGGTTGCAGCTAGACAAGTCCGTTGTTTTGAATAAAATTTCCACACTGTGCAGTCGAATCACTACTAATTGTTGTAGCCTAAACACAATTAAAAACGATTACAGCTAGAGAACTCCGGTGCTTTGAATGAATTTTTGTAGGATTATGTGGCCCGATTAGCACAGAGTATTTATTGTTAATAATAGGGGAATTAGGGATGAGGGGGCAGAAAAGAATTTGAAAATGAGAAAGATAGTAAGAAATATAATATAATTTCATCACTGTATATGAGTTTATAGAATAAAGTAGTAGTACCCTGAT